AGCTCCAAACCTGTTCACCAGAGGAGATGAATGTCTGGACTGGAGTTTGGGTCTCCCACTCATGCACAGCCTGCAGGTAGGGTGCTCAATTAGGAGGAGATTAGAAAACAGGACTCTCTTGTGGCCAAGTACCAAAATAGAATCCTTCACTTTGGAGACCTGTCCCTAAATTACCTAGCTGATATCTCTCCCCTGTCCTTATCACTACTTTTGACCAGAGGTGAATTGTGGATTTCTGTGTCCTCCATTTGGGATTTGCTTATGTACTAAGTGGCCACAGCACTCAGAAACACTTAGTGTTTCCCTCTTTATTACAAAGGATACAATTCAGAGATGGCCAGGTCAAGGATGTGTATAGGGGGGAATGCTGGCTAGTTTTATATAGACTTGTAACAAGCTAGAGTGATCACAGAAGAGGGAACCTCATTTGAGAAAATGCCACCTGAAGATCAGGCTGAAAGCAAGCCTGTAGACATTTTCTTAATTAGTGATAGATGGGAGAAAGCCTAGCACATTGTAGGTGAGGCCAGCCTGGGCTGGTGGTCCTGGATTCTGTAAGAATGCAGGCTGAACAAGTCAAGAAGAGTCATTCAATAAGCAACATTCCTTTGTGAATCAACTGCCTCCAGGTTCTGTCCTGATGTCCTTCAATGATGAACAGTGATTTGGAAATGTAAACTAAATAAACTTTTTCCTCCCCAAGTTTCTCTGGTCATGGTGTTTTATCACAACAAGGATTACACAAACTAAGACAGATTTGGTGCCAGGAGTGGGGTATGGCTGTGACAGAGTTGACCATGTGAGGATTGTGGAAGTACTTTGGAACTTTAGGATGGAAAATTCATTTAGTGTTCAAAGCCTGATGAGCTGTTTTGTGGGGGCTTGAGAGATAAGAATGTTGAGAGCAACATAGACAATGGAGGCCTGGCTTGTGATGTTTCAGAGGGAAGTTAGAGAGTACCTTATTGACTATCAGAACCATTTGCTATTTCAAGTTAAGAATTTGTGGTTCTGCTAGGCTAAGGCTGAAGAAACAGCTATGCTTGACAAGATACCAGAAGATACCACTGAAGTAAACCCTTTGCTTAACTGGGATAGTTGATGCTGGTTAGCTGGAGCTGAGATATTAGCTGTGATTAACAAGAGACAAGCATCATTGAGCTAAAATCTTCTGGGAAGTATTCCTTCAGAGTCAGCATATTCCTCACTTGGGTGTATTACTCTGGCCCACATATGAAATTACTTGGAAAGCTGTTAGCTTTATATAGGGCTTGGAACAAGAGAAAACTCTGTTCTGAAACAGGTCCATTCTGCTCTATCACTTGGACCTTATGATCCAGCAGACCTGATGTATTTGAGGTGTCAGTGGTCTATAGGGATGCTGTGTGGAGCCTTTGGCAGGTCTCTATAGGTGAATCACAGAAGAAAACAATGGAACTTTGGAGCAAGGCTCTACCATCATCTGCAGACAACTATTCTCCCTTTGAGAAACAGCTTTTCACCTGCTTTGGGGCATTAATGGAAACTGCATTGGGCTGCCAAGTTGCCATCCTATCTGAGCTGTCCATCATGAGCTTGGTGTTATCTGACCTACAAAGTCATAAAGTAGGATGTGCACAGCAGCGATCTATTATCAAATGGAAGTCCATATGTGATAGGGCCCAAGCTGATCCTAAAGGCATAAGCAGGTTACATGAAGTTGTCCAAATGCCTGTGGCTTCTACTCCTGTTACAACACTGTTTCCAAGCATGCACCTAGAGCCTCATGGGGTGTGCTCTGTGATCAGCTGACTGAGGAAAAGAAGACCCTAGGACCTGGTTTATTGATGGTTCTGCACGTTATGCAAACATCACCACAAGTGGACAGCTGGAGCATTAGAACAATCCCTCTGTAAGGGACAACACTGAAAGACATTGGCAAAGGGAAATCTTCACAGTGGGCAAAATTTCAGGCAGTACAAATGTTCGTACTTTCTGTCTGGAAGGAGAAATAGCCAGATGTCTGATTGTTCAACTGTTTCGTGAGCCATTGGATTGATTGGATGATAAGGGACTTGGAAAGAGCAAGACTGGAAAATTGGTGAGAAAGACATTTGAGGAAGAAATATGTGGATAGATACATCTAAATGGGTGGAGCTGAGCTTGGCAGTGTCATCCACTTAGTCTGGGTTTTGAGGCATTGGAGATACAAGATGAAAGGAAGTCAGGAGTTTTTCCTTAGTTTTGGAGAGCAGTTGTATTTGTCAGGGTTCTCTAGAGGAGCAAACTAATAGAATGAATCTATGCATATATTAAAGGGGGATTTATTATGTCTGATTAGTCCAACAATAGCTGTCTCCTGATAGAAAAGCCAAGAAAACTGTAGTTATTCAGTCCAAAAGGCTGGATCTCTCTTGGCTTTTCTGCCAAGGTCAGCTGCCAGTGTGAAATGGATCCTGGCCCTTCTCTTTGACCACAGTGTAGATGTTTCTGTATGCTGAAGCTGTGGACGAACTTGGCGAAGTGTTTTCTAGGAACAAAGCCCCTTAGGCTTTCTCCTGTCACATGCTGTAAGTTTAGCTGGGAGGGAGGCCTTGCCTCAGTACCCTTGGTCCCAAGGCAAAGAACAAAGCTTCTCTTTAGTGATGTTTATCTCTTTAACAGTTACAGACTCTTTTTCAACAGATGACATTACTGCAGTCTTAGACTTCCTACTACTCTTTTCTCTCCAAGCTGCACATTTTTTTTTTCTTTCTGCCCCATGTGTTGCTTTTCTTCATGGGAGGCCTGTATCAGAGTAATTAGCACTATGGACCTGGTGCTGTGCTGTCTTGAAATTTCCTCTGCATAATAAATTAGTTCATTATTCTTTATTCTGCCCTCATACAAGTTCTTAGGGCATGAGCTGAATACAGCCAGGTTCTTTGTCAAATACCACATCCGTTTCTCCTCTTGATCATCACCCAGGCCTCTACTGCTCACATTTCTCTCAGCATTATCTTCCACTAATAGCCCATTAAGTTCTGCTTTCAACATTTAGGCTTTCAGCCTAAAGCTCTAAACTCCCCAGTGAAATGGTCTGAAAAGTAACACAGTCACACTATTTTCTTTGTTACTAGTGTCTCTTGTTGCTTCAGTCTACTGCTGTGACAGGAACTGATCAAAAACACTTGAGGAGAGAAAAGTTTGTCTTACTCTTCCAGATCACAGTTCATTATTGTGCTCGTTCTTAGCTGTCTTGCTGTCTCTATCTCACTTTCTCCCTCCCTCCATCCCTCCCTGTCCTAATTACCAAAACGGTTTCTCTTTTTCTTTATTTATATTTTGTCAGATGTATTTTTGTCGCATGCATAACAATATATAAGTAGAACCTGCTGAGTCCGCTTAGTTTTGTATGTATATGTTTCAAGGGCTGACCTCTTGGTGTTAGATAACCAATTAAGAGGCTAATCTCTGAAGAATGATGTCTCCTTCTGTCAGCAGTCATTAATAATTGCCTATAGCTCTTCATCTAGGGTTGGGACTTTGTAAGACTTCCCTCAGCCATTTTGGCATGCTAACTGGGCAGCTAGCTTTCTTAAAGTTTATTTATCTTTATTTGATGAGTACATTTTGCTTACATGTATGTATGTGTACTAGGTGCCCAAAGACAGTTGTGAACTCCCATGTGGGTTCTGGGAAGTGAACCTTGCCCTTAACTGCTGGGCTGTCTTCCCAGCCCTCGGCTAGTCTTCTTCTACAGTCTAGGGATGGTGCCACCCACAGTGGGCTGTGCCCTCTTACAACAGTCGTTAATCAAGCAGTTCCCCAAACAGGGCCACAAACCAGTCTGATCTGGGCAACTCTTCAAATGAGGTTCCCTTTTTCCCAGGTGACTCTGGGTTTTGTCACATTGATAGTAGAACCTAAGCCACACAGATAAATACTGAGCACTGGCATTGGCTGGTACGGTGGCTCTGTTCTTGGGCTTCTGAGGAACTGCCATACTGTTTTTCATGGTAGCTATATCAGTGCAAATTTCCATCATGATGTTTGGGTAAATAGGGCTTACTTTAAAAAATGTGCCTCCTTGTAATGACCTGACAGAACATACAAGTAGCACAAATAGCAGTGGTCCTTCCTCCTAGAATGTTTGCATACCAAAGAGGACCCTCTCAAGGGTAGCTAAACAAGGTTGATAGCTTTTCAGTTAGAAGCAGCCTTCTCTGAATTACTTCACGGGAAACACATGTTTTATTACAGAGAAACTGGGATGTTAGCTTCTATTTAAGGATAGTAATGTGACAGACCTCAGAAGTCACTGAAATACTAGACTTGGGGATCTCTTGTCTTTGATGGGTCTATTTTCTTTCTTTTGGTACTGTGGCTTGCACTGAATGAGGAGGAAGTAGGTTTAACTTCAGTTACCCAAAAATGGAGGAGAGTCAGTGCATTCCAATCCAGAATTCTCAGGGAAAGGGAAGGATTGGCCCCACCTAACCACTGCTTCTGTTGTGTGTGCCTCTTGAATGTGGCCAGGGAGAGGGAGTTACACACGTACAGGGCATCAGTATCTATGTGAAGTGTGTAGAGGGTGTGAGAGGCAGCAGAGGCCTGGAAGAAAGGAAACGAAGGCTAGAAAGACAGGATGTAGGGTGTGCTCTATCCCTGTGGTATATGAAGACAACAGTGAACAGGCCTTAGGAACATGTTGAAGAAAGAATAAAGGATTGTGAAAGTCCTCAGTAAGATTTTTACAGTGACAGGAGACAAGCTGATGGATTGCTTTCTAAATGGGATGTGGAGAGGAAATGGCAGTGTGGCCTTCACTTTCTGATATTATGAAGGAATTCTTCCCCATCAGGTATTAGCATTAATGATTGCTGACTTGCTAGGTGACACTATGTATCTGACACCAGGCTAGGCCCTTTTATATGTGGCTCTCGTTGAGGCTTCTCCCAGCCCTGGCTGCTCACTGTTTTTCTGCTGAGTCTCTAACCTGTATCTCTTGCAGCAGGACTAACACTGTTCTTTCCTTTCAGAGATGTGGTACTGGATCTTCCTCTGGGCTCTCTTCTCCTCTCTGTTTGTCCACGGTGCTGCAGGCGTGCTGATGTTTGTGATGCTGCAGAGGCACAGGCAGGGCAGAGTCATCTCCGTCATTGCCATCAGCATCGGCTTTCTGGCTTCTGTAACTGGAGCAATGATTACTAGTAAGTTGACTTGTTTTGTCCAAGGACATCATTTTATATGCAATTATTGATTTGACCAGTACTGTCCTTATTGTTAAAGAAGCCTTATCTTTCATGTAGACTACTCCTCAGTACTCTACAAACCCAGGGCCTGGAAGACAAAGAGGAGTTAGTTCCCTTGCTCACCAGACAGATAGCTGCACATCACTCTGCAGGGATTTCCGGGCGGCTTGGCAGTGGGCATAGTGGTTTGGTCGGAAAGTGCTTTATAGAAAGAGTAGTTTCTGCTTTAAAGACACCTACAGTTTGCTAAGGAAGGAAGATAGGCACTAAATACGACAGTGACAGCTGTCATTTAAGAACATAAAAATATGGCCTTTGAGTCTGTAGGCTCATCTGACTGCCTGTTATAACACCATATAATTGCGTTTCTTCCTGTACCATGTATTATGACAGAACTTCTCTGCCTCAGGAAATGTACAGGTTTTCTGCTGTGCTGTCTCTCTTACGTGTCACCTGGCTTGTTCCCCAGGCTGCCCCTTGATACTGAACTTGGCCCTACTCTGCCCTGCTCCTCAGAGAGTTCTGCTTTCTGGACAGCTGATTGAGCAGTTGCATCCTGGGAGCTCCACAGCAGCTTTCTTACAGGTTGTGCTCACAGCTGGTGACTTCTCCCCCGCTTTTGAGGCATACACTTATATGGCCCCCACTTCTGGCTGTCTTTACACCTTGGGGCAGCTCACGGCCACACTGCATCTCTTTTGGGGCTCTCCATGAGGGGTTTTTTAAGTTGATTCTGGCCACAGTATGAGGAAGGCCTTATCTTTATAGTGCAAGGGCTCCTTCCTCCCCTGTTCCAGAGTGATTAGCATATCTTGTCTGAAGAGGGAAGTGGTCTCCCTGTGCTTTGTCTCCTGACATCCAGACAGTAATGAAACACCTGTGTGAAATAGTGATTTGTCTGTCTCTCTCTATCTTTTTAATCTCTTCTTTACTATTTGGTTTTCCGGGATGGCTTTGTGTGATTTATCCTGTGGTTTCTTGTCCATCTTGTCACAGGCCAGGTTGGGGATGAGGGCCCACGCCCAGGTCCAGCTGCTGGGGTCATAAGAGAGTCATTGGAAAGAGACTGGAGTGAGTGCTAAGGGAGTCTTCAAATGCTAGCCAGAAAGTTTTTTTTTTTTTTTGTTTTGTTTTTGTTTTTGTTTTCCTGCAGGCCTTAGAAAACAGATAATTTAGTTTCCTTTTTAAGAGATTCATTTTGGTGTTTTGCCTGCCTGTGTATCTGTACACTGTGTACATGTAGTTCATAGAGAGGCAGGAAAGGGGCATTGAGTTCTGTGGAACTAGATTTTCAGGCAGGTGTTAGCTGCCACATGGGTGCTGGGAACTGAACCCAGGTCTTGTGCTAGAGCAGTTAAGTGCTCTGAACCTCTGAGCCATCTTCAGGCCACAGGTATTTTTAAAGGGATAAGGGGCAAAACTCTTCGGATAGATATTTTATTCTATAATTGAATACATGAAGGGGATGTCCTTCTGTAAATGTGTTTCTCTTATTGGTTGATGATTGACTAGTGACCAGGCAGGAAGTATAGGCGGGTCTACCAGACCAGGAGAAGGCTGAAGAGAGGGAGGCAGAGGGGAGCCACCAGAAGAGGCAGAAAGAGTAACATGTGCCAAGAGCACATGGAAATACTTAGATTAATAGAAATGGGTTAGTAATTGAGAGAGCTAGCCAATAAGAAGCCTAAGTCATCAGCCAAACAGTTTAATAATTAATATGTCTCAGTGTGTCTATTTGGGGCTAATTGGCAGTGGGACCAGGCAGGGAGGAAACTCCATCTTCAGTATAGACTATATGAAAAGAAGCAAGAGAACACTCTGAGGGAGCAGGCTCTCCCTGCCAAACTACTACTAAAACCTACCTAGACATTGAGCTCTCAAAGAACACTGCTGGCTGGGTGGATGGAGCGAGGGAGGAAAGAAGGAAGGATGTGGAGAGAGTCAAGAGAGTAAAGGGGAAGGAGAGGAATCGAGAGGTACAAGTAGAGACAGTACTTGTGTCAGGGTCTGTGGGAGGTGATGGCCGTGTACTGTTCACTGTGGTGACTGACATTTTAAGGGACAGGAAGGGGCAGCCAGTTTGGTCAGATGTTGTAAACTTGGTGCATGTATCTATTATGTCACTGTAAGATTTCGAAGGGTGTGGAGGGTCTACTTCTATTTGTGTCTAATATGTGTGTATGCATATACCCACTTGCAGTTCCTCACGAATGTAATAAGTTAGTGGGGTTTGGTGTTTGTAGCAATTTACTTATTTTTGGTTTTTTGAGACAGGGCTTCTTTGTGTAGTCCTGACTGTTCTGGAACTCACTGTGTAGACCAGGCTGTCCTCACAGAAATCTGCCTGCCTTCGCCATCCTAGTGCTGGGATTATAGTCATGCACCACCACCCAACAAGTTGGTGATTTTTAAAAACTGTAGTGAAATGCTTTAAAATCCTCGAAAATGTAAGTCTGCCACAACATTCAGATAAAAATTTGGTCCTTGGGTTAGCAAGAATACACAGAAATGTTTCGTTACTAATTTTTTGACTAGCAACCATGAATTAAAACTAGCTAGAATATTTTGATATGTATCTTCTCTTTTTTGTTATTTTTTTAAAAATCTTTTCCATTTCTATTTATGTGTATGTGTGTTCTGTCAACATGTGTGTCTGTGCACCACATTATCCACTGTTCTCAGAGGCTAAAAGAGAACATTGGATCTCCTGGAGCTGGACTGATAGATGGTTTGTGAGCCACCATGCAGGTGCTAAGAATCGAACCCAGGTTCTCAGGAACAGTAGCCAGTGCTTTTACCCACCCAGCCATCTCTCCAGCTTCTCTGTGTCTTTTCTTAATGTAAATTGTTGATGGCTTATACATAGTTATACATTAAACTTGACAGTTGCTAAATATCCTTATCAGTACAATGCTGTTGGGATGAATATTGGCATATATTCATTCTGTTTGTTATTTAGATTTTATTTCCAAGAAAAAGTGATGTGGTATTGGATTTTCTGTTTGTTTGTTTTTCTTATGCTAGTTAATATTGATACTGATAGATTTGGTTTAAACGAAAAAAGGGGTGGGCTGGGGTGGTGCTAAGGAGTTGGCTCGGTGGGTGAGTACTTGCTGTGTAAATCTGAGGACCTGAGTTGGTGCCCCAGATCCCATGCAAGACCCCGAGTGTGGCCTTGCAAGCCTGTAGCCCCTACACTGGTGAGGGATGGGGTTATGGAGGTTAGGGGTTCACGGACCCTTGCTTAGGTAACCCAGCTGCAAATTGATGAGCTTCGGAGTCAGTGGGGTTCAGTGTCTCAAGGGAATAAGGTAGAGCGATAGAGAGCAAAGGATACGTAGGACGTGAGTATTCTCTCTCTCACCTCTACATGTGTGCACACACAACCTGTCCCTCACCCACATGCATAAAGGGTTTGTCTTTTGTGTGTGTGTGTGTGTGTGTGTGTGTGTGTTTGTTTGTTTGTTTGTTTGTTTGTTTTGAAACAGGGTTTTTCTTTGTAGCCCTGGCTATCATGGAACTCTCTCTGTTGACCAGGCTGGCCTTGAGCTCAAAGATTTGCCTGCCTCTGCCTCTGCCTCTGTTCCTGGAATGCTGAGATTAAAGGTGTGCACTACCATGCCCTATTACAAATAAACTTTTAAAAAGAAAACAAAATTGAGTTTGTTTCTATATAGTGCCCAATTTTAACTTGCTAATCTTTTATAGATACTTTAGCCAATCTCAAGGTGGGTTTATGGATTTAGTTTGCATTTCTCTGCACACTAACGGGTCTCAGCATCTTTTCCTTTACTCCATATACACAAAATTTCCCCTCTGCATATCACTTAATCTTATGCTTTTTTTTTTTTAATGCAACGTACCTGTTTTCTTCTTACTGCACTACAGATGCTTCTCATATGTGCAGGCTGAGGTATTTGCCTGGCATGGAGCTCTGCGGATGCCTTTTCCCAGGCTCTTACCAGTTCCTTCATCCAGTGAGTTTATTGAGTAGCAATGTTTAAATAGCAATGTCATCAATCAGCTTACAGGTTTTTAGCCCACACTTATGGTTTATAATTTGGTGCTTTAGGAAGTTCTGTCTCACACCAGAATAAAAAGACATTATGATATATATTCTTTATTTTATACCTTTACCAGTTATATAGTAAGGTCTTTACCTCATTCATCTAGAGCAGGAGTCAGCAAAAATCTTCTTAGAAGGATAGGTGGTAAATGTTTTAGACTCGGAGGCAGTGAGCTCATTTGCTCAAGCCTGCCATTGGAACACAAAGCAGAGCTGTGGGAAAATGAATGGATGTCACTTGTTCCAAAGAAAACTATTAACAGACACTGGCCTTGGGTAGTCAGACCATAACTTATTCCTGGCCTACCTTTGTTTTTAGTGGTAGATGGGATGCCCTCCTACATGGTAAATCAGTTTTCACCCCAGGACCCACTGAAGTAACTGATCAGTTTGTGGGTACTGCCTTCTTGTTCGCTGTGTTCCCAAGGTCCAGGGCTCTTGTGATTTCTTCATCTCTTTTCATTCTCTCGGCAATGCCACTTTCCTAGGCCCCTGGTTTTGTAGTGTGTCCTGGAGATGGTATGGTGTAGTGTGTCCTGGAGATGGTATGGTGTAGTGTGTCCTGGAGATGGTATGGTGTAGTGTGTCCTGGGTAATTCATGAACAGTTCATGAGCTATTCCTTCATGTGAAATTAGAATATGTCTGAGTGTGGTTTCATTAGCTTTGTTGGGATGCTCTGGAATGTTAGGATTTGTGACATGGTCACTGAAGGAAATTATCTGCCCTTTCGTCAGAGATTACACTGTTTCCCTCAGTGGGAGGAAATCTTAACCTGGTGTGCATGTGCTGCCAGTCACACTTTGGTTGTGTTGGTGTGCATGTGCTGCCAGTCACACTTTGGTTGTGTTGGTTTGAGGAAATTGTGTGATGCTTGCTTAGTTGTGTTTAGTTAGACTTCACGGAGGCCTGGTGCTGTGGAGTGGTATAGATTGCTGACAGCTAAGCATTGAGACAGTCAGACATGGACTAGGACTGAAGACACAGCCATAGTATAGGAAAAAATAAAGAATTTAAAAACTTAAAACATAAAAAGAGTTATAAGCTGTTAAATGTAAAATGTCAAAATTGGCATAAGGAGAAATAGAAAGTACTAATGCAGCAGTAACGACCTTTAGATCATTTAAACGCTGAAGTTACAGATAGTCATGAACCACCATGTGGGTGCTGGGAATTAAATCCAGGTCCTTTGCAAATGCAGCCAGTGCTCTGAACATCGAGCCATGTCTCCAGACCACATTTGCTTGACTTTTGAGAAAGGGTCTCACTGTGTGCCCTGTGTGAGTAGGGTCACCTCTTTCATAGCATACTAAGCCCACTCACTAGTGTTTCAAAGTTTATGGTTATGGTATTATTTTTAGCATTTTGTTATTTAGTCTGCCTGATGGAATAGAGGAACTTCAATTATTTCTTCCAGATGGCTGTCGAGTTATTCCAATGCCATTAATTGTATTGTGAGGCACGGATAAGCTTTTCTGTGTCCTGACTACTGGCTAGAATTAGTGCAGGGCCAGCCGCTAATTCTTTCCTTTCCTATACGTATGGGGATGAGAGTTTATTCTGGAACAAAAGATAAGTGGCAATTGTTAAACAATTTTCACATTAAAAAGGCTGAGAGCATAAACTGTGTATTATAACTTTGAGTTGCAAAAGCCATTTTTGGATTCGATGGTTATATGTCCTGTGGTAAAAGTAACTTTCACCACTCACGTGGAAAAGTGGGGATGTGTTAAGTACTCTGTTTTGGTAAACTGAAAGGTGGCCTTTGCAGCAGCCATGTGGCAGCTGGTGCCCTGGGTGACTCTGTGCTCTGCTTCCCACAGGTGCAGCCGTGGCAGGCATCTACAGAGTGGCTGGGAAGAACATGGCCCCCCTGGAAGCCCTGGTGTGGGGCGTGGGGCAGACTGTACTGACACTTATCATCTCCTTTTCAAGGATCCTCGCGACACTTTGAGGTTCTGAGGGAATGTCTTCTTAACTAAGTAAATGGATGTACAGCTTCTCCGGAAATGGTGTTAACCAGCTGAAATGAAATTGTACAAGCAGGGACCCAGCAAGTCAAAACGTAAGGAAGACCTTGAGCTGTGTGGAAAGCCCGCCCTCTGGCGTCCAAGCGATTGCACTACCGCACTGCACCTTATGTGCCTCCATCCCAGGCAAGGTGCACAAGACACTATGTGAAGCTGCAAGAAAAAGCACCTTGTTTAGCTGCCAATCAGGTTAACATTGGTGTTGAAATCATCGTTCTCAACAGTGTTCTGTTAAGTTACAGGGACGTTTTGAGAAATCAATCTATGTGCCAAACTTTTCTTTCTGTTAACATTGATCATGTGACAGTTTGTAAGTGTAGATGTAGGTGAGTGCTGTGAAAATGACATGGATTCAGGAAACGTAGTCAGGCTCTGTTTGTAATGCTAACTTCCATATGAATGCCGAATACCAGGTTTTCAATACTAAGGAAGGTATTTGGTTTTTAAAGCTGAGTATTTCTGGGACTTGGGGCTTTACTGTGTCTATGTATTGTTATTTAATTTATATGGAAAACAATAGTCTTCTTCGTGGAATACTAGCTGAGTGTTGTAAGGACTCAAGTACACTTGGAGGGTACACACTTTTCAGTAACTCACCCCCTTTGAATAGTTTCCCTTACACATCATATTCTATTTATATGGATTCAGAACCTTTATGGGTCAAACACATTGTCACTCACATGTCACAAATATATCATTGAAAATTTTTCTTATACATTTTGTAAGAAAAAGTCTGAAATGCATGTTGCATTCTTTAACCCTTCTAAGAACGTTTTTGCGGTATGTTACAGAACACAACCTTCTAATTCGTGTTACAGTGGGATTGTGTTGTGCCGTGTGCAAGTCTCAGCAGTCTTTGATTCCAGAATACTAACTGCTTAGAGAATGGCCTAAATTAGGCTCTGGGATTTAAAATGCCTCATTTATAGAAGTAAGTACCTTACATAGGAAGAGCAGTAACTGTCATCCCCTGTATGTGTGGCAGGGTTAGGATGACCTAAGGGATGACTGGGGGACACTGTCATTCTATAGGTTGGCAATTAGTTTGAATGTGTCAGGACGAGGGGTTCATTTGAGTGATGTCATTTGAGTGTGTGCTTCTGAGTTAATACCAGAGTCAAATAGGTCTCTGATCACTTTCATTACAAGTAGAAGTATCTTTTAGGAGGCTTAGATAAATACACAGTTGTTATGATTACTGATCCTGGTTGAACTGAGTAGTGTGTGTGTGTGTGTGTGTGTGTGTGTGTGTGTGTGTGTGTGTGTGTCAGGGTGGGGGAGGGGGAGGGGGAGGAGAGGATGGTAACCAATTGTAATTACGAATATACTAACTTAAAGGAAGATCCATTTTAGAGATTATGAATTTACAAGTGACTAAAAAAATAACAGAGCACTCTAAGCTCCTTAATTTAGTTTTAAGACTTTTATTATCCATACCCCTTTTTCTCTAGCAAAAAGAAGTTTTTGGAGGGGCTGATTTTACCAGGACATAAACCAGTTTATAGTGTGGCTTGGAAATTTAACAACCCCAAAGTCAAACAATAAGTAAGTCTTCCCCCTTAGAGATGTTGGGAAACAAATCTTGAGATGGATTCTTTTTATTGATACAAGCCTGCTATTTCTCCCATGCATTCTTTATATTCTTAATGTTTTCTAAGATGAAATGTAGGTGTCTTCTCCAGATAGGACTGGTTCTCCTTCCCTGTTGGGCTGATTTCTGCTCCACCCTCAGGTGACTTGTTAGGAATTCAGAGCTTCATGTGCCAGTAGGAGAATTGCTAACATGGACAGTGTCTCATGTACAGAACAAGTATTTATTTTAACATGGTTATTTTATTATCTATGAATGTTATCATATTAGGTAATATGGAGCCCAATATTTATAATCTAAAATTAATTAGAAATTAACTTGACACATTGATGTGAATGAATGGACCAAAGAGATTTGAGCTCCTGTTTCTGCTATAGGATCAAAGTCTGAGAGGGTTAATTATCATTTTATAGACTGTCCTGCAGTCATCTCATTATCAAGCTGATTTGCGTTGTGTATGTATATATGTGCACTTCTAATTTTAGGAACATTTTCAATTTCTGTCTTCAGTTATTTCCATTGGGATTTTATGTTAACTATCACTCTTGGTATTTTGAAATGCTGTTGAATAGTATGGATTTATGAAACTGTCTAAATGGCTATTTATATGGTGAAGTTTTCAAGAAGTTAGCTGTTTCTTATAGAGACAAATGTTTAATTATATATATTATACTCATAAACATATCATTATATACATATATAGATAGCTATATATGAATAGAGTTCAATTGGAAAGCTTTGTTTGATGAACATTTTTCTATTCTACTGGAGAAGTTGATTTATTTATTCAGTTAAATGATCTTTTAAACAGATTGGAGGGTTTTTAAGATACTTGCTGGAGACCCTTGTTTGGGTCATGACAAAAGCTCCCACTGGCATAGTCAGGTTCCACAGTCTGAAACCTCAGCCGCGGTTTAACAGTGGATTTTCTTCATGACAGATGAAAGCTCTTTAGCACCAAGGCCTCACGTAAGTTACGAGTGAAGCCTGGTAACTTCCCCCGAGAAGGAGGTACAGGATGGGCCCTGGCACAGTTCCATTGGCTTCCCAGGGGACCTGGTGCCTGTGTTAATTTAAATTTTAAAGCATCATTATTAATTTAAAGCCTCACATGTATCATCCAGTGTTAAGGTCTTACCCAGAGTACTTTCTCAGTGTTTGCAATGGAGAATTCGACGGCTCTTTTCTCAAGCCCCAAGGGTTTTGTCTATAAAGGAAGGAAGGCTCTCTGGATGGTTTAAGATCAGTAAATCATATAGGAAACAATGCTTCCCAAACCTTTCATCTCTCTGGAAGGCAGAGGGACCTACCTCAGTTGGTGAGTTCCCTTTATACACCTCCTATATACAAAGATGGCTGTAATAGGATTCCCTCACAAATCTACCAGGAACTGGCTTAACAGTTTCAAACCCTAAAAAAAAAAAATCATGGGCTAGTACCGAGACCTATCCTTTCCTTCCTGTTCTGACCACCTTTTCATTTCCCATCTCATCCTCTGGATTGGGCATTTCAGTGTCCTAGATCTTGCCTGAGCTAAGAGAGAAAGGACCAGATTGTGAGTCAGTGGTGTAGGCTTGAATCCAGGCTCTGTGGCCTTCCTTCACGCTGACCTGAGCATCATTTAACCATGCTTAGTTTCAGGTCTAAACCTGAAATTTGATTATACGTACTGACATATCTGACAGTAAGTGCTCAAAAGACAGGTAGTAGAATTTTAAAGTTAAGTTTTTGCAATACCCATTAGAGATGGTGTTTTGTAAAATTTACCTTTCTTCGTCCATTTCCTCTTTTTTTTTTTTTTTTCTGTGTATTTTAAGAAGGAAAAAATTACTTTCATCGTCATCTCCTCTTTACTCTTAAAGTCAACAGATAAGTTTTCTAAGGGTACTTTGTTGTTGGTGGTGACAGGGCAGACAGGAGTCAATTATGGCGTTGTCACCACTGGTAGTGTAGGAAGAGTAGATGTGGCCAGCATTTCCTCCATGGCTATTTCCTGCTTACATCTTTGGATTAGCTCAGAACATTTCATTGACCCTTTTCCATATGCAGATATTGCCCATGTTTTAGCTCTCCACCCCTCCTGGTTACATCTGTTATACTGAGCTTTTGGGACATCTGTGTCCTGTTACTGTTGGTTTTGGCTATTGTTTTGCTTATTAACTATTTTCTATTTAACCTAAAAAGGTCATTATCTTAAGTTTACAACCATTTTGTATTATAAAGAGTGACAAGATGGGAGAGCGCTTTTGAACTATGTGCAGATGATAGTGGCCTTGCCATTTGAAAACATTTTTAAGACCATCTCAAAACTGTCTTTGGAAACATCCCTATTTATTGTGTTTGTAAGACATGAAGAATATGGAAAAAATACTGGAAAATTTCTAATGGGTTTAGATGGCAAAGAAGTTGAGTATAACTCGGTAAACTACTGTTTCTTTTTAATATCGGGGTTATATTCTCAGTGGCTGGATATGACAGTCTTCTAGTAGTCTCCATAATTTCTTCTCCTTTTGACACTTTTCAAGATATAAGTACAGTATTTGACTTTAAAATACAATGTTTTAAAAATATGTAATACCATTTGAAACGGGGATTGAAAGAGAGGAATTATTAGGTCAGTGCACAAAAGTCTGTATGATAATGTTCCCTGTATTATGGGCGCATAATTGAGACTATAAACTACCAGTGAGATTCAAGTTTGTGAATACCTCACTCCAGGGAGTGTGGGCACTACCAAACACATGCACATAAAATCCTGGTGCATTTTGTGTGTGATGGATTTGTCCTTCTCCCTTGAGGCTTCCTGTTTCCTGTAGGTGACAGTGTGGTGTATCAGTTTCTGAATTTGCCTGTGAGAACAGCTAGGATTTGTTTGGGGGGAATTGATGCTTAACAGATGAAGTGTTTTCAGTAAACAAGGAGATGCACTGGCTAGCTCTTTGTGAGGGTAGTGGCGGCATTCACTTTTCTGAGCATGCTGAGCTGTGATTCAGATAACTTCTTAATTTAGGAGATGGCCTCACACATTCTTTCCCTATGTGTGTGGCACATGTGTTGAACTTATGTAATGATTTCCTTGGTTTTGTAATTAATTCATTTAGCAGTGTCTTTAACAGTCTCTCTCCTTTCCAAGGCAGTTGTCAGGTGTCACTATTTAGGTGCACACGGTTCACTGACAGAAGCTGGAGGGAATATTCAGTGCCCACGTTTATGCAGTGGTTATCTCGTCAGAAAGGAAGTAGCCGAAGGTTGCACGGGGTGGGGGTGTGGAGGGCAGGACAATGTGATGATGTGATGCTCCTGTTTCCTTGAGATGATACCCTGTACCACACCTAGCGTGTGGTGTAAACTGGGAAACAGTGAGGCATAAATATCTAGAAAGTGGAGCGCTGATGCATGACCCTGTCAACCCCATTGCCAGTGTCCTTTTCCTCCTAGATGTGTATTGGTAATTACTTTTTCAAAAGTAATACTGCTGACATTAAATGCTTTGTTTGTTCTTATTTTGAGGTCTCACTCACTGTGTAGCCCTGAGTAGCTTTGAACTTGTGACCTTGCTGTCTCAGCCTCTTAGGTACTGGGATTACGGGTGTGTACCACTGTGCTAGGCTCCTTTGTAAATCAAAATGTTTACGGTTCATCACTGAATGTGGTTGGGATGAAATGGTCTTAATGCTTTCCTCCTGGAAAGAAAAGCAGAGGCTTTTGTTTGCAGTTTTTTCTTAGTGTTTATGGCAGTGGACGTGATTTCCATGGAGAAATATAGAAACTCTCTCCCCAGTACACGCCCTTAGTCATGAGCTCTACCTGTTTAGATGGACAAATAGGAAGTTCCCCTGTTGCTCACTTTAGCTACCTAATCTGGTTCCACCCTTAGTATTAGCCTCTGCCTTAAGATGTTCCAGCAGGAGGGAACAGCGTTAAAGTTCATGCTAGCATGGCTTTGCTTAAGTAGCAAGTATAGTTGATCTGGCAGATACTAAGAAACTCACTTTAAAATTGTACTAGCTCTCAGCCCACTGAGGAATCATTTAGCTGAATACAGTACAAAGCTCAATGAGGTCTCGGTGCCTTGAAAGTTAAGACACTTTTGCAAAGTGGACTTAGGGAGGGCTGGGGTTGGCACCAGGAGCTAGCTTCGTGCACACCAGCTGCGGGGAGACTCCAGAGCTACGAAGGCCACTGAGACCAGTGGAGCTGCTCACTTATGTTTCCTAGAGACTAGTCAGCCACAACTGTGACAGGTGACAACTACTTTCACTTTTCTTCACCATGTGGCATTTCCTCAGTTTTTTTTTTTTTTTTTTGTTTTGTTTTTTGTTTTTGTTTTTTCCAAGCAAGTATGAAATGGGGAAAAATGTAGTCAAGTAAAGTAAGTTGGGATTTTAAAGTTGAGTTTTATGGTAAACTAGAGAGATTCCTGTGTGAACAGAGTTAATTTAACATTGTAGTATAAAGACAGGCTTTATGTAACCTTTAGAAATATGTTTGCCATCAGGGATTTATTTTTACAATAAAAATACTAAATGTACTGTGAAGCTTAAAGACAGGAAGACTAGACATTGGAGAGTGATACTCAAACAAGAGCTTGTCCGATGAAGTATTGCATTATGTGAACACAATTTTCCCTTCTGTTAAGACTATA